GTTGGTAAAACACAGGTATGATCTTTTATATCTTGAGTCTGAAGGTGCTGACGCAAAATAAAATTTGTCTACGAGTTCTCTTCTCCTTTGATGTAACCAAGCACACCATTGTTTTTCTTGTGACATTACCAGTAAGTTTGATGTGTCACATGGCCCTCTTCCTATTGAAAAAACAAAAGTTATATCCAAGATGGCCGACTTCTAAATGGCCACCATCTTGAGGAGTTTGCCCCCTCACATATACTAATGTGCCACAAACAGGACTTTAATATCACCAACCATTCCCATGTTATTACGGTGTTATTACGGTGTATCCATATAAATGGCCCACCCTGTACACAGTGAAAGCGTTGTTTCTTTGTGAGAAAATTCATCTTTTGAAAAAATGCAATGTGGAAAAAATGAAGTTGACATCAAGCGATGATGAGCTGGTCCTGATGTTTCTAAACAAGAAAAGGAAGAAACAGAGATTCTGGGTTCATCCGGTTCTCATGGGGCAGCAGCAGCAAGGAGAATTTCATGGTTTGATCCAGCACTTGAAGTTTTGTCATGACCGCTTTCATACATATTTTAGGATGTTGGTGGCACAGTTTGAACTCTTGTTGGCAGAGTAGGGAACAACATCTGAGGAGGCAGAGAAATCATGTCAGACAGTCGATTGACCCGGAATCTAGCTGTGTGTCTGAGGTAAAACTGTATTATGAAACTGGAACAGTACTCACATCTACAGAGTACAGTATAGAATGAATTTATGTCATTTCATCCATCCTCCAATCCAAAGTCAGGGGATTACCAAAGGCTTTAGGATTAAGGACTTCTAGTTTGTCTAACCCAAGCGATGTAATGTCAAAAAGCAAAGGAATAAAGAATAAAATATTTAAAAAGCTGGTGGGCAACTGGTGAGGGTTGGAGGGAAGTACAGTAAAAACAGAAATATATAGGAAATAAAAATTCTGCCTCTTCAGGTCCTTCAACACTCAGCTTCAGCTGAGTTGTTTTTCCTGCCCACATGAAACTCTCCCAGGATGTGGACAGGAAAAACAGTTTCTGTTCTCCTGTAGTTCACACAGACTCTACACTTACATGTAAATCAGGTTTTCCTTTAGCTTTCATTCTTGTTCATGCTTTTGTCACTTGTCTTCTTGATTTCTTTGATTAAATAAACTCCACATGACACACAAGATAAAAGCATCAGCAACATCCAGGGTATGAAGGGGTGACCTAGAGGGAGCGCTGATATTGTGTGGATATAGAGTCCATACATATAAAACGCCAGAACAGAAACCAGACTGACAAACTACAGCACTGCAACAGGTCTGCTTTCTCTTTCTCTGACGGTTAGTAATTTTCAGATTGGTTTTAAGATCATCATTTGTTGCAGCTGTCATGCTTTGCTGTTTGGCAGATTTTTCCCCCATTTTATTTCTGCTGTAAAGACGTTGGGAAAAGCTGTAAACTCTTTAATGCCATCAAGTTGAGGATTCTGACTTGTCTGTCTATGGGAATTAATTTGGTTTTGGAACCACCTAAAGTGGTCACTCCAGAAATAACTACCGTATATTTCGGACCGTATATAAGGCACACCAGATCATAAGCAAAACAAAACAGTCAGATAAGTCGAACTTTACTCCACTCATTCTTCTTGCATTGATTCATTAATGTTGAATTCTCTCTGCTGCTCTTTTCCCATGATGTTGCAGTGTATTAATGACTAATCTGGTATTGTGGATGGATTTTCTCAGTTGTTCTCCTGACTGAAGTTTGGTCCGTTTGTATCATCCTGCCATGTGATTGCTTTTGTCCCTAACCATCAGGAACCCTCACATTAACTTTTATCGATGTTAGTGTTCATCCTCCAGCTTCACTGTGTTTATGTTATACTAACATAGCTGTGTCACTAGCGATCACGTAGCAAATCATTATATACCAGCTAGCCCAACTTCAATAACCCTACAAACGTCACTGCTGTTTAGTTTTCTGTCTTCATTCATGTTGGAAGTGATAGCAGAGCTGTACGTTTTAATTTTTTCAGAAATCTCTCAGTCAGAACATGCTATATCATGTTTAGGTGGAAACTAGCGAGCTAACTTCCTGCTAATTTTTAACTCCGTTAAATTTAATAACTTCTATTTTCATGGATGCCTGGATGTTTTAACTTAATTGTTACACCTGGTAAAACAGCAACACTGATCATTTTATTAAAGATGAAAGAATTTAGAATTTAGTTTTTAACTCTCAGTGATGCTGCAGTGTTCATTTAACTTTGGGACCTGAAGTAGACGGAGTTTAGGACCCAGATTACTGCGCAAGGTTCCTGACTACGGTAGCCATAATGCTCCGACAATTCATCAAGCGGTGCGCCTTCATAGCTTACCAAAGTAATACTAAAAAAATTTTTGGCAGATCTTTGAGTGCTGTGTACCACATAAAAGCAGTTCGAGGTTAGTAAGCACAACCACTGTCGAGTAAGCACTGTCGATTTTTGAGAAAATTAAAGGTTTTTAAGTGCGCCTTATAGTGCGGGAATATGTTAACACCCCCCCCAAACCCAGTAAGTTGCTTATTGGTTTATACGTTAATATGTCAGTTTTTGGCTCCATATATTTTCAATTAATACCAGCAAACAGCACCGCCTGCTGATTGGCATTCCATCGATAATCGATTGCATTTAGATTCAATACACAGTTGCTGACGTCACTGATTTTATGGGAAATGAACTGGTACTTATAGTGGTTTCCATTCTAACTGAGCACTCAAAAGTGCTTTATGCTACAGCCTCACCCATTCGCACACACATTCATACAAGCACTTTTATCTCACACTGATAGATGCATCAGGGGCAACTCAGGGTTCAGTATCCTGCTCGAGGATACTTTGGCATGCAGACTGGAGAAGTGCCGAGCGGAACCACCAATCTTTGAATTGGTAGACGAGCCGTTTTTGATTGGCTGTGTTTTCCATGCAGGGTTACTGAAATTAGACCAATCCCTGACTTTGACAAGCTATGATTCTGAAAGACAGATATGCTAAAGTTCAACTTCATATTTACTTTAACAGAAGTCTTCTATTCCTGCTCTATGATTTCTTCTTAGTCGTCTTCTGTGATCCTCAAATGCTTCCGATTCTTTTTTCGTCTTTCACTGAAACATTATTACAAGCCATCACTCTGAATTTGTTGTTTCTCAGCTTTGTTTTTCATAAACATGCAATGCCACTTTCACTCAAAAAAAGGCTGTGGATAATAAATTAGTACGCTTCTGTGAGGTGCAGTCGTTTGCCGTCTCACTCCAGAGGAAGCTGAGAACAGAGTGATGCTATTTTTAAAACCCCATTAATACGATGACCTTAAACAGTGCTAGATAAAAATGAAACCCAGCATGGCTCCGTTTATGGTTTACCAAATGAAGAAAGAGTGCCCCGCCAAAGTAAAACAACACAATCCAAGTTCCAGATCTGCTCATAGCATTTGCTTATGATGGCATATTTTTTTGGCTATTACACGAGTTTTAGTCTTTTAGTGACATGATGAGGATGTCAGGGGGTCAGAGGTCACAGAGAGATGGATGAACCCTAATTTGTCTCAGACTTAAAGTGACCTGTGTGGGCTATTATGAAGCAACTGCACTTGTAGAATCATGATCAAGGAGATGAGAGGAGAGGAGCGACACTGTTGCTCACAGAAGGGTTATTAGAAAATGCTGTGTGTGCGCGTGCGTGTGTGTGTGTGTGAGCAATTCCAGCGCCTCATTATTGTTCAGTTGCTTGGAGACTGCCACAGGCCAGTGTTCACACGGCCAATTAAAGTTCCCCAGATGCCCTTGTATTTGACTCCTGTGTGTTTTCTAAAACACTGATTTTTAAAACCTTTTTTCAGATCTTCCCTTGATCAAATAGGGATGTTTTATCACAATAGAACAAATATATTCTATTTGTTCTATTATGAATAAATAATAAACATAATAGAATTTGTTTAATAATGCTTTAGATTTAAAGATTATACAGAGTATGACAGGTCAGTTTGTTTAAGAAAAGTCTTACAGAAAAAGTTGATTTAAACTCTATTTGAAGGCTTACCCTTTATTATTATTATTATTATTATTATTATTATTATTATTATTATTATTATTATTTTAACTATCATATTAACCACTCAATGAGCTTCTTTATTGTTTAATATTATTTTAGGCTTCCTCTGTCTGATCGCATCAAGTCGTTCTATTCATAGGCCAGAAAAAAATCACTTAACTGTCTAAGTAATATAAAACATTAAGGAAGCTATGACTTTAAATCAATGAAGGATTAAGTATAGGAACTTCATGCCATCCATGGGGCTTAATAGAAAGCTTGGCAGTGAAAAACATGTGACATTGGATTGTTTAAGGTCCTAAATTAAATTTTGCGTCCTAAGGTTCAGAAACTTTGTACATAAGTTTTTACCCCTCAGCTGTAAAAGGCTGATGAAGTATTCTTGTCACTCCACCGGGCAGGCTGGGCGGGCAGAGTGAAAACCTAACCTAAATTTGTGAATGAGATAACTTGAGAATGAGGCAGTGTAGGAGCTTCAGATTGATACCATAGGTGTGTCTACAAAAATAATCTTGAACACGTTTGAATTGCAAAGTTCAAGTTTCATTGAAATCTTGTGAACCCGATAACTCCAGAATGAGCTTGAAATCAATAACACAGGCACGTTTACAAATCATCTCAGACTACTCTGAATCTCTGTGACATGAACCTAAAGTGAAAGGTCAAAGTTCAAGTTTTCTGAAAATCTTGTGAATGCGATAACTCGAGAAGAAGGTAATGTAGGATTTTCAAACTGATGCCATAGGGGTGTCTACATAGCAGGCTGAGCTGTACTACTGGTGGTTCAGATGGGTCTCTCTTTAGTCCTGTCACCTCAAGAATTTCTCCTCATTACACATTTGGCTGTCTTTACATGTGTAAAGTTAAAGAATGCTGAGAAGATGCATAAGCTATGAAAAATACTAAATAAATTCCTGAAGAATACTTCAGGCCTGGGAGAGGGTACATGCAGACATGCACAGTGATGGAAGTGAGGATGATGAAGGCTTTACTTTGTTTGCTGTGGTCTGTGTATTTCGGTTGTAGGCTTCATTTTTAAATGTCGATAGCAGTGACGTTAAAAAAAGTTTTTGTTTAACCGGCTTACACCTGTAGATGCCCTGAAACTTTCATGACAGCAGTTAAAGGTTAAATCCAAACAGCCAATCAGAATTTACACAGCAGTGTGAACGCAGCATGAGAAGCAGAGAGGGGAGGGGGAGCATTCTCTCTCTGTCTCCCTCTCTGTCATTGTGGCTCCCTTGCTCTTTGTCTCGCCTGTGCATACACACACACACACCTGCCTCCTGTGTGTGTGTCAGGTGTGTGACCTGTGTCTTGTGTCTGCAGTGTGGAAGACATGGAGCAGCAGAAGAAGCAGGACAGTGACTCAGGAGTCGGCAGCGACAACGGAGACAAGAGACTGTCTGCTACTGAGGTGTGTGTGTGTGTCTCTGCATCTGTGTGTCTGTGTGTGGGAGGGGGGGGATTTTGTACATTTGTACCAATATGACTGTAACATGTTCAAATATAGGTGTATAGTTATGTGTGTGTATGTATCCATGCACAAATATGCGTTAGACATGTACTTAAAAAAACCAACCTTAACCCCTTAAACCCCAATTTCCAAACAAAACAACCCAACCTTTAAAGCCGGGGAACCGAAGGAAGGCCGGGAAAATAAAAAAACGAACCCGTTAGACGTCACTCACTTTTTCTGCAAATTGCTATTTCTTTTGTGGACTTGTGAGCAAATGATTGTGAAAAATGGCAAAAAATGAATTGTTACATTTAACAGTAAATTGTTAAAGAGCATTATTTAAGATGAATTAATACAAAGTTGAAATAAATGACAAATAACTGAAAATTGTAATATTTGACTTTTGAATTTGAGATTCTTCTGGATTTGGTCTTGAAATGAAATACTGTTAGAGCGGAGGCACTTTGGCCTCATCTTGTAATTAGGGGCAACTTAACGTTTAGTTGAAGTTATTTTCTTCATTTGAACTGATAAGCTAAAAGTTTTTCTGTCTCTCGTAGTCTTTATCCGTGCAGTGCAGAGGAATTTTGTAGGATTCTGTAAACTGACGTCACGTCGCATCAGTGGGAGTCAGAGATCTCCTTTTCATTTTAGAATGAACACATTTTTTCTTTGTTACTAATTCACATTTTTGGTCATTATTGAGATAGAAAGCTGTTCAAGGCAGCAGCCAGCTCCAGGTCTGCGAAACTGAAATTATAAACTCTAATTTGCAACTGATATGCTTTTCCTGACCCAAAACTACGAGAAAAGTAATAAACTACAACTGAGAACGTTTACACTTTTAACACTCATCAGTTGTTGTGTTCTTGTGTTGAGGTTCCCACAGTTTTGTTTCAGCTCTGAAGCCGTTTCATTGCTTGTTTCAGCCGTCAGATGAAGACAGTCTGAGCCTTAATGTGCCAATGAGTCACATCACAGAGGAGGGAATCGGCAAAGACGACTCGAGTGAACACATCAGCTCTCTGACAGGTACACCCACACACACACACACACACACACACACACACACACACACACACACACACACACACACACACACACACAGAGTGGCCAGCATGTGGCGATGGTAGACAAACTGTATTATGCTATCTATTGTCACCTGGTTAAACTCTCTGGACAGCCCGGATCCATGTGAATGAATAGTGTGTGCACGTGCGCTCTTATTACTCATGCTTTGGGAGCATAAACATCATCTGGACTTGACTCCGGTGAGAAAAAAGCATAACCAATTTGAGAATGCACATTGAGTGATTCAGTCAATGATTATGGAAAAGAGGAAAGAGTGAAGTAATCAACAGACTTGCACAATTATTTATCTGCTGCTGGATTTGTTCATGCAGCATGAAGCAGTGCTTGCACCATCTACAAGTCAGGAGATCCCGTACGAGCCCTGCCATGCGATGTGGTTCAGCAGTGTACAAACTGAGGGTTTAGTAGTTTTGCTTTTCTAACCTGTCAGCTGTGTGTGTAAAAGTATCTGGGCTGTTGAACTCTATTAAAGAACAGCAGCAGCTCCCCAGACACAGTTTAAATAGACTTCAATCAGCCTTAATTAGGTTAGAGCTGATGGAGGGTCACATTTACTGAACTGAGATGAGTGAAAAGAGGTTATTTATATTTCTAAACAAATCCGTAATCCTGGCGTCACAAAGATGTTTTACATATTATATATTTGACAAATGTGTTGTTTTTAAAATAGCAGCAAGCTCCTGCTGTGGTTTTTATTATTTATCGCCAATTTTCTTGTGAAAAGTTTAGAAAATGAATGAAATTTAAACAAACACAAAAAATTAGGGAAAGAATTCTCAAAGGTTTTAAGAGCTGACTTAAGGGCTGACTTAAGGGCTGACTCACGCACCTGACCTGCTTTCCTCCAATCACTTCTCCTGCACATTCTGCCACTCGACATCTGTCTTGGCAACAGCTCCGGGCAGATATTTGGACAGTTCTTTTGAAATCCTTGTCTAAGTGCAAGGAGAGACAGCCATAACTTGAAGTAGTGGTTCAAAGGTTTGGCGGCTTTGTCCCCAAACAAGATTAAAGTAGCTTTCTTTTTCCTCAATTTATACTTCTGTAGTGCATGCACACAGTTTCACTGCATCTCAATCCAATCATCTGCTCATCCCACCATAGGACTGAACACGTTCTGTGCCAGTTTATGTGACGGAGGTGTGCCTGCTGACACTCATAAATATGTTTCAGCTGTTGATTGGCTGTTTGAGGCTTGGTGCCAAATTTGTGCCAGAATTTTTTTCAGGATTCTTCAGTTCTGCTTATTTCCTCCATTTAGTGTCTAGCTAGTTGTGACTGGTGAGCTGTCATCAGACTGTATTTGTATCTGTGTTTTATTTCTTGCACATTGATAATAACTTTGATATTTTTAAAAAGTGAATCTGTTTGAATGAGTGTAAACACATAGACAAAAACTGTGCTACGTTACGCATGACTGACTAAAATTGATGGAGCTGTGACGTTTACAAGTCCCTTTATAACTTTGGTTATGCAGGTAATTATAATCCTTCGTGGGTTCACTTTCATGGGAGTTGTGCTTTTGTGCCCATATTTTTCATATTCTATCAAACCTGTGGTGCAGAATTCTACACCCTACACTTCAGCTTAAAACTGAGAGTTCATGTTTCCTTCATTTCAGCAGACCCAAACTCTGACTCGGTGCAGCTGATTGAGGAGAGCCCTACGGAAGCCCTGAGAGACCAGAACAGAGACTCTTCTCTTAGCACTCGCTTCATCAACTACATCAAGGCAAGAGCTCGTGTTGTGTTGCGTCTGCACACCTCTGAGTGCTTCAGTTAAAAATTGATGCAGTAAATGGTTCACTTCATGCATAATGCCTCCCTCTGATTGAGGTTATGTAAAACTATTATGTTCACTGGGTTACTTTATTCCAGCATTAGTTACGCTGCCTGTCGTTTTAGGCTCATGCGGTTTGTTTAAATGGAGCCTGCAGCATAAACTGTCACTTTATGTTAATCTCAATTAAAATTCCTTTTAGACTTAAAAGTTTTGCTTGAATTGTCATGAAGAGAGCCAGCTCTACTTAGTATTGGAGTTCAGCCACCTTTTTTAGCTTATTCCAAGTTAAAAGTGCAAACGGGTTTCACATCATCAAAACTCAGTTTTTACCTCTGCCGATGTTATTCTCCAGTTGCACATTGCTTCTAGTCATTGAATTGGCCGTGAACTCCTCTGTATACCAAAGTACTCTACAGTCAAATTGCAGAATAAAGACTTGCTGTTAGAAAAGAGTAAGAAACAAGAAAAGCATAAAGAATGGAAGGAATGGATGAAGAAAAAGGACTCTGTTTTCTAATTGTACGGAGGAGAAAGTGGTAACGTCTCTGAGCCGGACTGTGGATCATGTGATTTCTGCAGCTGTTGCTGATTTGCGTACGCTTGTCTTTGCAGGGTAGGACGGCAGCAGACTTCGACGAGCCCCTCAGGATAGAAGAAGACTCTCACTGGTCAACACAACAAACGTAAGTTCGTGAGCATAGTGTCGTTTCGATTTCCACTTTATGACTCACGTTTAGTTTCTCCTCATTTATTGGTAGATTATTGTATTGTATGTCATAATTAGATATTTTTCTTCTACTTTTATTAGCACAGGTTATTCAGTATCTTTTTGCAGCATCATTCAAAATCAGTAGTGATTTTTTTTTGGGGTTTCTTTCTGTTGATTGATGACAATTTAGAATCTACAAGTATCCTCTGAGGGATTTTGCCAGCTGTGACTTTATGATATGGCACCATCATCACCCGTGTAAATACACTGTACATATACATGACTCTCATTTCTATCTTTGTGGCTGCAGGTCAAAAGTCACAGGGGGCACAGAGCTCCACATCGACATGATCAACCAGCTAAAAGAGGCTGTGGAACTGCTGCAGGACCCCAGCAGGTGAAAAACACCAACAGCTGAGTGTTAGTTAGAGCTAAGTGACACCACAGTGAGTCTATAAGAGTATCCATAGTCTGTTTCCCTTTGCTGAGTAATAATTCATATCTGCAGCACTATGTTACCACTGCTGAACTTACTTAAACTATGAGAGAATTAAACTTGACTGAAGTCATGTTTTTGTTTTCAGTTTGTTTTTCTCATTTGTAAGCCAGCACTCTGTGGCATTACTATTGTGTTTTGTGCATCAGGGTGAACACAGAGGAAGATTTGTCTGGAGTCCAGCTCTATCCAGTGGAGATGGTCACAGTGGACGAGTCACTCAAGTAAGATTCCATGAATCTGCGTTTAAGACTACTTGTATTATGACTGTGGAAAAGGTTTTGGCCTGATGGACTGAGGGGAGAAATGTTTTTGTGTTAAAAATCTCTTCTTTTTTTTTTTTTTTAGCTCCGAAAGCATTCTACCTCTATTTAATTCAGTTCGGTTTTATTTATATAGCAGCAAATCACAACAACAGCTGCCTCTAGGTGCTTTATTTTATAAGGTGGAAATCCTACGACAATACAGAGAAAACAGAGAAAACGCCAAACAACAGATGACCCCCTATGAGAAAGGGCTTTGATATAAACAGGAAGCAAACCTCCGGCAGAACCAGGCTCAGGGAGGGGAGCCATTGGGTGAGGGGAGGGAGATGGGACCAAGACACACTGTGGAGGAGAGCAACACATTAATGATGAGTAATGATTGAGTGAAGAGTGGTGTATGAACACAACAAAAAATCCATCAGTGTGTCTTGTATGTCAGACTTGATTACTCTGTATCATCTTCTCTGTCAGCCCACAGTCAGTGACAGCTATCATTTTATTAACGTTCAATCGAGAGCCTCAATTTGTGTAAGTAAATATTCTAGACATGATCAGAAAGTCCTGGAAGTTGAACTGGGCTAATTAAACAGGACCAACTGTCTCACAATTTTGAGTTTGAATTGAATTCATTCATTTAAAAGGAACAGTGTATATTAGTGAACATATTAATCTTAAAATGGCAGAATTAGCAAAAAAGGCTACTTTTCATCTGTAGTCCTTTGCTGTAAATGGGCTGAAAAAATGGCTATTACAAAGAATTCATCATGCATCTTTGTAGAAGACAGTTCAATGCCATCTTGTTCCTAAGATGCTTCTAAACCTAAATTCTGAAAAACATAAAATAAATGTCTTTTCTTGTATTTGGGCCAATATGGTCGTTCCTGAAGATAAATGTAGTTCTGATTCTGTACACTGTTTTATGTAGGGTCATGGTAAAGTAGATCACTTGCCCTTATTTTCCTTTTTATTTCTCCTTAGCGGGCAGGACAGTGATGACGGCGCCACATCACCAAAGGTACAGTATGAGCTCGTTAGAGCTCTTTAGCTCTAACACACATACATGGCATACATGTTTCTTAGTTTCTGGAAAGACTTCCAGGTTGGTTCAAACTCCAGTTTGTTGGCCAGTAATTTATAATAAAATAGCAACATTCACTGTGTCTGAAGAGTTCTGCTAAAACTTGGATTTTGAGCTTTTTGTTGGATTTCTGGGTCAGCAGGTGGCAGTGATTTTTATTAATGAGAACTTTCGGGAAATGCCTGGTGGCTCTTCTCTTTGACAAAAGCACCAGAGGAAGTTTCAACAGATGAAAATGTTATTTTGGTATAAACATTTTAGAGGAAAGAATTGGTACTTGCAGCCAAATAACGTTCAAACTCTCCTTCATTTTTCCTTCATGATCCCTGAGCCATCCAAGCAGAACATGTAGGGTCATTTAGAGGGCTAAAGACCCCCTAATATACTGAAGGCATAATTATAGTATAATATGTGATATATAGAGAGAGAGACTAGAAATGAAGAAACCTTTTTCTGGCCTTTTCTTATAGTATTTCAAGTCCTATCCACTACCACTAGGTGGTCCAGTTTGCAAAGACACCTCTCTTATCTAAAAAATGTATTAATGACTATCCTCAACTGGTGGAGCTCAGCAGGTGCAAAAGTGTTGTGCGTTCCTAGATAAGTAAAACCTGTAGGTATGCTAGTAACAGAAAATACTTACAGCTGAAACCTTTGATGCGTCCTGTAGCAGCACATGGATGAAGGTGGCTGTGAGTTCCAGAAGAAGAGACAGATGATTCTAGAAAAGGCCAGGTTTGAAGCCCAGCTTGCGTGCCGGGAGTATGAGTGGCATATGTCGATCAAGGTAAACGTAGCGCCAGACCTCTGGATGTAGTCTCTGTCCTCCGAGTGAGCTGTCTACGGTCGTGCTTCGCAGTGATCCAACGGTCGTGTGTCTGTTTGCTGTGTTAGCTGCCGATCACACCTCTCTGAGCTTTTCACGTGTCGCATTTCATCCAGCAGCCTGATCCACATGTGCACAGAGAGGGAATGTGTTTCTCTGTTGCTACATGCGAGTCTCAATCTTCCACCAGTTACTCGCAGGCTTTCTTGGGAAATTACTAACTGGCTAAACTGAAGGTGGGTTTACTGAAAGCCTTTGTAGTGGACAGTTGAAAAACAGGTGGCAGGTGTTTTCTCTCTCCCATGTTAGTGTGCAACATTCATCTGCTGAAGTGGCTGTGTGACTTTGTGTTATAATTAACACTGTTTCAGGGTTATTTTTGTAATTTCATGAACTATATATTATGATGTTTACTATTTATTAGATTAACACCAAAACTTTATTTTTTTATATATCTGTATTACCTTTATTTATTTCTGGGTTAAAGCATCGGTTAAAACATCCAATGCTTAAAACAGTAACACCAGAATTTGTCTTTCTATTGCTTTTTTCCTTTTTCTTTCTATTATTGTAGGGTCTTTACCATAAAGTGCCTTGAGGCAGCCGTTGTTGTAATTTGACAATGGTTACAAATAAAAAAATAAAATTGAATTCAATTGAAAAATTGAATATATTTCTGTTGTAAAACATTCCCTATTTCCCCAAATTAGATTAGGAATGATAGGTTTCTGTATGGAAGACACTGAATTGAATGTACCATTAAGTTTATGTTACATGGGGTGCTTTGGGCAAGGTCTGTTTACATTTGCAAAACTTATGGATGTTGTCCAAAATGTTATCCTGTTTTGTCACAATTAATTGTTCTTTGTTTTCTCCATTATGTTAACATTTTTTCTTGTGTTTAGCTAGCTAACTTAATGTGTACAATAGCAAACCTGTGACACTATGAGTGCAGTGGGTTTCTGCTTTGATGGTCATCACTCTTTGTACAGGCCTGTAAGCAGCATTGTATTTAGAACAAATGGAAATCAAAGAAGATATATATTGCAGTGTGTTCTGCATATATTTTAAACTGCTATTGTTCACATAAGAAATGCAAATTCAGATCAGATGTTATTACCAGGTGAAAATATGGAAGACCGTGGGATTTTTTTTTTTTTAAATAAAAATAAAACAGTCTTTGGAAAAGAATATGTACCTCTTCAATTTTGTTGAATTACACACCTCTGGAGCGTTGGTGCTGACACTAAGCTAGTCTGCTGTATCTGTGTTTCTGCTCACCATATGAGTTGAGTGATGGTTGAAGGTAGAGGAAGCAGGAACTGAGTGGAGTGTTGTTCTGAGTTCAATTTTAGGCCACTGAGCTCCTGTTAGTCTGCACAGGTTCATCACAGGAGTGAATGTGTTTCTGTGTACTTTATCTCTCTCTGTGGAGTCATTCATAAATCTGTGTCATTGAAAACTGCACATGAAGCACAGGATCAAGAGTGTCCAGCATTTTTTCATTAAATTGACTAAAATAGGACTGACTTTAATTTTTGTTTCCATTTCTGTTGTTGTAGCGAAATGACAGATCTCCAGTGAGCGGACCTCCATCCTTCTCCAGCCCACCCTTTGGACTGAAACCTCGTTCGGGTGAGTCAGCTGAGATAGTGGACCAGGTTAACTGGAGTACCAGGTGTACAGGTTAACAAATTGGGGGTTTTTTTCTGGACAGAGTATACTTTCAGTTACCACACTGTGATAATTTAATGGCATTTACTATGCTGGTCGCTGAAAAAAAATGCACAGTCTGAGTGTAGGATGAACAGCTGATTTTGACATGAGCTCTGTTGCTCTAGTCATACAGTTTGTAGCTTATGTAGTTTTAATTTAAGCTTAGCCTAGAGCTCAACATTCTAATTGATATAATCCACATTGGCTAAACAAGAGTGTAGGAAATTGTCTTTCTTTTACATGGCTTTATATGGCTTTAAAAACCCTAAAAGCAAAACTTTCTACAGGTGGGTGAAAAAGCAAACGCACTTAATTATTTTTCTTCTAAGGCCCTAAAAGGGTGTCAGCTTTAATACACTGCTGGAAACGTCATCATAATAATGTTGGTCCAGGATAAACATTAAAATTGACATTGTTTGAGCGTTCAGCTAATGCTTTGAAAAACTCTTGCTCACAAACCAACATGTATACCTAAATTTGACTAACAGCAAACCTAATTTGGTAATATATTTATTATTTTGTATAAATTAACAACTTGAAATGCTTACCATTTGTTCCAGAATCTTATACAGAGTTTTATACAAACTAAGGCATTTTTTCCCGAACATTGCAATGCTATGACATCATAACAATGTGACTGGTCAGTTGATCCTGGACAAACAGTATTGAACAACACCAACACGGGCATATCAGATACACCGCTGGAAACCCTGAACTTAGTCATTAGCTTAAAGCGAAGCAGCAGCAGTCATGTTGTGGCAGCTTGTGGCCCCTGCTCATCAGCTTTATTTGCAGAATGATAGAAAGCTTCTGCCCCATGCTTTATTATAGTTGGCAACCATCCAGCTTTTGTTTGCTGTTACCAGTGTGAAATGATGCTAACCGCTAATGAAGCTAACATGATGCTAACAGCATGTGAGAGTGATTTGTAATGTGAAATGCCACTAATCTTTATTTTGTTTTGTGCTGTTTTGTTTTGTGTCTTGTCATCTCATTCTATTTCTTTGCTTCACCTTTTTTACCTTTTCTGATTTACTTGTTTGTTTGTTTTTTGCCTTTTTTTGTGGCACTTTCATTTCTCCTGCATGACCTTTGATGTTTAAAATCACATAAACACTCATTTAATCTGACCTGCCTGCATTTTTGAATCAATACCTGCTTCATTGATTCCTGAAAACTAATTCACACTTTCTCCTGGTGATTTTTGCTGTTTTTCGGGGTGTGTTTTTCGTGGAATGAACTTTGCCTTGCTGTACTTGGTTCACCTTGATGCTCACCCTACCACCACCACCTCCTCCAACTACCTTCCTTGCACTACACACACCCCCCACCTCCTGCGTCTCTGAACACTTCCCACTTCCCACCCGCCTGGTTGTAGCTCCACCCTCGCTGCCCTGCTCGCCCCCGCCTTCCTGTCTCGACCCCTCCCTCCTCCCACAGGCCTCGCCCCTCCATAGAGATACACCTCGTAGCCATGACGACGGAGGCAATCACAACCGGGGTAGGTTCCGCTTTATCTGCTAATTGGCCAGATGACACACATCTGGGCTGAGCTGTCTGCTGACAAACCCTGGGTAGGGACCGTTTTCTCTTTAAAGCCAGAAAAGCCTGTCATTACTGGTCTTTAACTTTAAAGGTGGTCTTTAAATGTGTTTTAAAAAACAAAAAGACATTTTGAATTTAGTCTTTTGTCTGTTGTTTTTCTGTTCATTAGTCCACAACTTGTTTACCATCCTATGTCATATCATATCATTTTATTTAACACCAGCAGCACTCACAAAAAGTGAGCGTATCAGAATTGGTTTTCCGAGTCATTGCTAAGACAGCTGTCATCGCCCCCCCCCCCGTCCTGAAAAGGATAAGCAAAGAGGATTGCTAATTAATTAATGAACTAATTAATTAAGGTTATATCATTGGGAATTACTGATCTATACCAGGTTTAATTTCGGAGTTCCAGGAACAGAGCCATTATAAATGAAAGACCAACCTGATTTGAATTTGGGCGATCTCCTCTTGCAGTCACCTCCAGTCCACGTAAAGGAACCATTTCCAGCACAGTTGCTCTTGTTCTGTCTCTCCATGGAAACCCCATTATGACTATATAACTGTCAACTCTGACTTCACCACAGCCTTCAAACTTTCACAGCCATGAGTGCGCCATGAGTGCACACATCAGCTTCTCTCCATCTGAACAGCGTTGCTATAGTTTTGTATTTTTCATTACCTTTTTCAATTTTAGGTTTTCTTTTAGTTTAGTTTTGTTAGGTTCAGTTTTAGTGGTAACAAGGCTTTATACCTGTCAGAATAAGCATTATTGATACACATGTGAAGGTCCTTTAGTCCCAGTCATGACATGCTAACCATTCACAGCCTGGTTGTGCTGACAAAAAAGACTAAAACTAAAGGGAATTCCAGGATATTTTTGTATTTTTCTGTACTGTTTTTCTTTTCCAAGCTGTGCTTTTTACATTTTTATTTTTATTTCAAACCAAAATGTTTTCCCAACTGAGCTTTTAGTGCAATAATATAAGGGTGACCGTTTTAGCACACTGGAGGCTATCGAGGAGGCGCATCGCAGGTTGCAGAGAGATATTGAAAAACAGCGGCTGTGCTGTGGAAGCCATCCAGGCATGAAGACAATGGTGTTGAATGAGAGATCGGGTATGGTTTTTTATTTTTGATGAAGGAAATCTTGGAGCAGATTGTTCTCAATCTAGCTGTGATCCTCGATAATGCTCTGAGTCTTACGTTGTCCTTAGTGACAGGGAGGCGCTTGCCAGCGACGTTCTCTGCTGCCTCCACCACTCTCTGTAGCTGTTGGCATAGCAACTCTCACTGTGGAACTGTGTACCCCCCTTAATGTTGCTTCCTGTAGTTCTCACTTCTCAGTCCAGTGTACCAGCTCAAATTTTGGGGAAAAAAGTCTCAGCTATTTGGCAAATAACTGACAATATATTTATTAGTTTCAAACAAGTTTTTGATTTGTTCTTTCTCAAATATTTGTGTGGTCTGATAAATTTGTTGAGCACAGTACCTCAAAAAAAGAATTTGCCTGTTGTTCCTGCAGAAATATGTCACAAATAATTTTTATAATCTTTTAGAGTTAGCCTGAGTGGCGATTGTAAAAGAAAAAAGGAGTAAAGGAGCTGTGGCTTCCTTCAGTTTTCCTCCTCAGTTAAAGAAAAAGCAGTAATGTCTGATGATGTGGTGTTGGGCTGTCAGCAGGCATCTGAACATGCAGACATTTAAACTGCAAACACTGAGATTTAAGGTGAAGCTGAGTTTTTTATAAATTTCATTTATTTTTTAATCTTGACGACAGCGTTTTGGACAACCTTTTGACACAGAGGGTCTGAGTTTGTGTTCACCTGTGGTTTTAAGAAACTTTATTGTCATCTCATCAAGCTGCGACTCACTGGCTCCTCTCGTTGGTGCGAATGGGGACAGCAGCTTCCTTTCCTTTGAAATTCTGTCACAGCTTTCTCTTAATTTCTCTCGTCCACTGCCACTGTGTGTTTCTTTGCCTCAGACCACATGTTAGGGTGTTTCAGATTAGATGCTCTGCATGCACGCGCGCGTGCATACGTTTGTGTGTCGAAACAGCAGACTGTGATCAAAGACGAGCTTCACCGCACTCTGCTTTCATCTCCAGCTGTTCCCGTGTGTGTGTGGTGGCTGTGGACCAGCAGGCGCACGTGGTAGAAGTTAGAGCTGATGCCATGATTTGTGCGTGCGACTGCAGCTGGCTTGTGTAGAAGATCTAGAAGGTCTGAAATTTACATTTCTAAGAAAATAGCTATTGTAACAAACCAAGTGTTTTGTTGCTTCTATATAAGTGAGTGTGTTCTAATGACTGAGAATCATCAAATGCAGCTTGCTGATTCAAAGGAAAACTCCAGTGCCTTACAAACTGGGGTCTAGTAGTCTGACACCTTTGGCCCCACAGTGCAGGAACCACATGTGATCCACAGGTGGCTAACCTGGGGGGAAATTTGCCCACATGGGAGAAATGTGAGATTACGCAATGTGCACAACCGCGCAGTTCACTCACAGGTACCCACTGTTTGCCTGAACATGCGTGTTTGCTGGACTGAGTTTGATCTGGCAGTGTTCTAAAGAGCTTCTTGTCAGTCATACATAGCTTCCCCAGTCCTCAAGTGCTTTCATAAATGCTGAATGAGGTTGATTTTTGTGGAGGAAAGTCCATGATGGTCAGGGCAGACTTTTTGGCCATGGAAGTGATTGGAACGCCTAAATTCAGTGGTTTGAATGGGTGAGTGTAAGTTCTTGCACTGTAGTGTATAATATAGTGTATCTTGGCAAAGCTGTCTGCTCTGCTGCATATGCACTGAGCTGAGCACACTGAGTAAACCTGTTACTGGTGGACCTTACATCTTACTGAAGTTGTCCTTCTTGCACTTGAGCAAAATGAAAAAAATGTTATTATTAGGGTTTTTTAATGCGTTAATGCAAAGAATCCCAGCATTTGTTTTCACTTCTGTTCTCATACTTCACTCCAGAAGGAACAGTTCTGTTTTGTGTCGGCTTTGTCGTGACACTGCCTGCATGTGTTGTGAGTTGAAATGTCTTAAGTCTAACCATCACATGGCTTGCAGCATCAGAGACCGTATTAGGAAAGTCTGATACACACACACATACAATTGGAGATGTATGCGTCTGCGCATGTATGAAGTATCAATGAGTCTGGCTTTCGTGTGCGTCTATTTTCGGTTCCTATATTTTAAGCGTCAGATAATGGTCCCTAAAGGGGTATCCTACTTCCACTGGAATAGAGTCCAAGATAGTAGATGGATCACAGCCGTGTCATATTTTATTTATCTTCATCAGCACCAGTTTCAACTGTAGACCACAAAGTGTGGGCATGTTTTGCCTGGTTGTGACTTTAGGACAGGGTTCACACTTGGATTAACAGTCAAGTTTGGCTGGGTCATTTAGCTGTAATGTTTAAGGTTGGGTTAAAGGGGATGTGAAAATGCAGTGTGTCGAGGAAGGTGCTCACAGAGCTAGAAGCTATTTTTGTGCAGCCCAGAAGAGAGCTGCATTTTAGTCGTTTGGTCCATAAAAGGCTCTGATATATCGCGGCGACTCTTAGCTGTGAGCTGTTCACACACTCGCTGTAATAACTCTTGAATGTTCACAAATCTGTTACTAACCCTCAGAGACTCTTTAAACTTCACTTTCTCACCACTTTCAGTTTTTAAGTCTGACTCATTTTCATTTCACTCTTGTAACATTTTACATGTGTTTCCCTTTTGTGCCCTCGCTATATAAAAAACTTTTCGAGTGTACTGATGCTGAACTTAAAAGTACAGTGATTCGGTCTGTTGATGCTAACTTTCACACTGTAAGCTATCTGACTCGCGTCTTTGAGCTGCTGCGCTCTCAGTGTTTGCTGTTGTAAGGAGAGCATCATTAGTTATCTTTCAGTGGCTTCCTGAAACTCTTTTTGAAGCACAACATTTCTACACGAGCCCCTTATGTGTAAGCGTGATAAGATGGTGACTAATGGTCCGTAATGGGTTCAGGCCTCAGGGAGAATGACATCATGCTCCCATCGTCAGTGCGCCTGACCTCATTAGTGACCAATCATCACCTTGTGTGAGTGACTTCAAGTGCAGATGCATGCACAGACTGCGTGTGATCAGTCTTTGAATACTTGTCTTTTTAAACATGTAACTACCATCATTTTTAAAAACTATGTGCCGGTTTTAAAAATGGTTATGTAAACCATCAGAATCCATAAAAAATAATCAAAGGACATTTGGATTACTTGATGGAATTTACTGCAGGTTACACTAAAACATGTTTTGTTGCAAATGTGTATTTTTTCTTCCTCTTTATACATATGAAAATGACTTCTGATCTCATTTACACTGACTGAGGCAAAATGGAAAAGTGTTGTATGGTCAGACAAATCAAAAGTGGAACTAAAGAGGAGAGGAACCATCCGACTTGTTATCAGCAGTCAGTTCACAGGTGTGCATCTCTGATGGTACGATAGCAGCAGAAATGTATATACAGGTTTTAGAGCAAAGTCCTTCATATTTCAGCAAGACAATGCTAAACTGCAAGTATTACAGCAGCGTGGCTTCATAGTGGAGAATCTTTCACCAGTTACAATCTTTCCACACATTCTGAAACATAAAATACAACAAAGAAGCTGTTTAGCAGCTACAATCCTGTATCAGTCAGTCCAGCAGCTGCTCTCCTCAGTTCCCCAAATTTTATGGACTGTTGCTAAAATCCGATGTTACTACATATATGATGTGAATTGAGATGCTGCAGTGCGGTAAACCCAACTTTTTTGAGACCTGTTGCTGCCATCATATTCAAATTGAGCTCATATATTTTTTCTGTGTTATGCTATAAATAAAAGGATTTATGAGATTTGCATGTATTTGCATTGTTTTAATTTACATTTTGTACAGCGTCCCATCTTCTTTGGAATCGGGTTTATGTAATCAAAGGCCAGGAGCGTTTAATCAATTGTAATCAAAAAGGCAATCAGCCAGTCTTTGATAGTATACTAACCTGATTGGATACCCTTCAGATGTGAGCAGTTACTGTGTAACAGCCTGTTATATCAGCTCCTGCTGTTTTTTAACGATTCAATCATCCAAAGTCAATATTCATTGCTTTTTGTGTTTATCCTTGGAAAATGTGGTTACCTTTGCTTTTCAAGTCTTGTCTTGTCAAGCCTGCGTGTGTCTTTTTCATCTCATTTCACTCTCATTATTGGAGAATTGGCCTCAGTTCTACTGCCCAAGCCGAGGCCTGTAGTCCTGGAGGAGACGGCAGGGTTAAAAGATGGAGCTAAAGTGAGAACTAAGAGGAGGAAATATAAACTCTGTTCCGCCACAGTCATGGAGAATTTGAGGTCCTTGGGCAATAACATGGGCGTGCTTTGGTGAGCTGACGTTTCCACTGTACACTTTCACACTAGCTTCAGCCTGAACCAACACACTGTTTGGATCCCTCTGTCAGCTGATTCAGAGAGCATCCAGATGACTTATGGTGAATGATTATGGATAATAAATGGATCTCGACCACCTCTGTACCACTTAATGACAAGCAGCGGAGCCGTGGACATTATGAAAGATGGCTGCAGCCACCATGATGAAAGATGTTCCACACTTATTCTTCTTTGATTAATATTATTTATTTATTGCTTTTATTGTAAACACAGCCTGGGATGCTCTGTCAGTATTGCTGCAGTTTGTAGTCCAAATTCTGCTTAGATTGTGATAGTGTTTAATTTTTTATGTTACCAGTTACAAATCAGGAGGGTATTTGGAGGAAAACGCCAACAAGCAGGACTTTGAAAGCCCCCCCATGAAAAAAAAACCTTCAGAGAAGAGGCACAGAAACAAGATGCTACAGGCTCAGAATGTCCAGATGGCAGAGAGACAGAGAGATATTTAGAGAGAAGAGGAGGAAGATGATGAAGAGGAGGGAGTGTTGAGCAGCTTGTAGCATGACGTGACCCAGAATATAAACCGAGTGAGAGAAAACCGTTTGCCCTTCACCATATTCCCCTTCCTCTTCGTCTCAAACGGAGAGCTCAGGCCAACCAAATGATTTTTCGCACTAAGACGGTATTCCATTATCCTTTAGTGGACCCCAGCTCCTCCACCTGCTGTTTCACCAGAGGAACTAGGCTCCAAGGTCCAAGTAGATTATTTTACCAACTCAAAAAAAACGTCAACTTGATCAGTGGGTTTAGTCAAAGAGCTTCATTCAGTTCCAGAGGAATGTCAGTGTTGACAGTGCAGAGTTGAAATGTGGGTAAAACTGTTGAAAACATTCACACCCTGAAGCCCTCTCATCTTCTCCTCCTCAAAACATGAGATGACTCCCACTGAAAAGCCTGGAGCTCCCTCCTGTGGTCGCTCAGTGGAACTGCACATTCACAGGCAGTGTTCAGCTTCATTCAGCTGTAAGAGGCTGATGTATGCGTGTGGAAAATAGGACAGTGAAGAGGTGAATGATTCAGAGTTTAGCGGTGTGCCTTTCATGTGTGTGGGTGTGTAGGAAGAGACCAAGTGTGTTTCACACTCTGTCCTCCTACACACGCTAAATAAAAGTGGATCTCGTCATCTGCATTTCTAATCCGAGCTTCTCTTCACTTTCTGCTCCAATTGTTGATATTATTTAAATTGAAGCTGGAACAATCCAATCCCAGCAGCTGTTTTGATCTTTAATTTATGCTTTTAGTTGGTTTTTTTTTCAGGCAAAAGTAAAGCGACTCTGCAAATATTTACATATTTATTTTAATCTCCTCAAAAGAACGAAAGAGCCGCCATCTGTCTGCTATTTTTGAGGGTAAACTAAAGATCTGGTATGTGGGAATACATATATATGTATATGTGTGTGTATATGTGTGTGTGTGTGTGTGTGTGTATATATATATACATACATACATATACATATGTGTATATTGTTACATTTACTCTCCAGCAGAGAAGCTGGAGAGTAAATGTAACAAGGGTGGGGTGTTGATGGTGATTTGCTTTTTTGCTGAGAGGCAGCAGGACAGTAAGCAGACAAGAAACTTTAGAAGGACTGGTATCTGGGGCAGCAGCTGGCTGAGTCTGACTGAAGGGAACACATCCACCTGCCAGGCCCTCGAACACTCACTAATTAACACGTCTCTCATCTGTTTCATGTGTTTTTTGAGACACAAAAAGACAGTCACCTGTCTCCCTGCTTGAGCCTCAGCTCAGTAGGCCTGGTAACTATTGCCTGATTAATAGATCAGCACATTAAAAATCTGAGTGCCTGGAAGGTTTTTGACTCTTTTCCAGGCCTTGAAAGACCACAGCACATGAGAGACACAGAGGACTTAACGTTTAATAATCCATCTGTCTGGGCTTTTTTTCCCTCTACAAGCTGTTTATTGGAGCCCTAATTCCTCCTCACATGACGGCTCCTGTGACAGAGCGGGAGCGAGCAGCATGCTGAGCTCTGACTGCACGAGTGCATGTGAATGCTGTGCTTGTGTAAACTTTCCACAGAACAGTCTTTTTTTCCTCTCACGTCAGTTTGTGTCACACACTCATTCTGGGATGTTTGTCTGCATCAGGCTGCACAGTAGATGAACTGAAGTGCAGCACCACGGCCCAGTATTTAAAAAATGAACATTACTCTTAACTTTGAGTCATGCAAAGCTATTGTAGTAGTCCTAGGATACAAATATGGAGGTTTTTTTCTGTCCCCTTTCCCAGGTTTTGACAGACGTTCTTTTCTCCGTCGGTGCTCCAAAGTCTTTGTGGATTTTGATCCTGCTGTGTGATTTAGTTAGGAGTCTAAATTTGTGTTTTAAAGACCTGCTACTGCATTTTTAGTTTCAGTAGAATATTTAATATCTTGCAGTCTATCAGCTGCTTGAGAAGGTCTTTGCTCATTGTTTAAATGCACTGCTGGTATTTATTGTGGCATATGATTATTAGATTTCCCGCCTCCAGTGGCAGCTTTTCAGTCTCTGCTCATCACAGCAAATCTCTCCTTCCTCAGACGTCTGCTGTCCATGTTTTATCTCTAACTGGTACTAACTGTGTACTCCTGCAGATGCTTAATGTGTTATGTTCCATTTTCTTTTGTTGTTGCTGCAGTGTTCCTGCGGAGCCACAAGAGCCTGGAGTCTGTGGATCCTCAGTTCACCATGAGAAGAAAGATGGAGCAGCTGCGGGAGGAACTGGAGCTCATGGAGCAGCTGAGAGATGTGAGACAAGCTAATGTTCTTTTATTTTTTTATATTATTTGAGTGGGGGTGGGATGTTATAGATCTGATATGAGCTTATGTCAAACGTATCCAGCCTGCATGACTGAGGTTAAGCAGGTTTTCACCCTGGCCAGACTAAATATCTGTCTCCATAAAAGCCTTCATTGTATCTTAACTGCAGATTTGGATCATAAACCCGGAGCTCCTCTTCTGATTTAAAATCAGTCTGACGCTCTGCATGGAACCACAGGGTTTTGTTTGTTGTTTTGTTTTCTTAGCTCAGCATTTTATCAGCTCAGTGAAATCTCACTGAATGAAAATTGCAAAGATGTAAGAATATATGTTATATAATAATAATGATGATGATGGTAATAATATACAATTATATCTTTATATTTATGACAAGTGCATCAAATGACCTGGACGTTTTCTATAGGCATATATTTGTTTCTGTAAGCCACAGGTCTCAAACAAAAAATCAGACCGGAAAACACACTGAATAAATGCATTGAATGGCTTTGGAAAATTATGAAGAAGGGCATGAACTTTGGACTTTTAACTGTATCTTTAGTTTTACAACTTTTGCTACTGGTAAAGACCTCCCACATAGCCATTTATACTACACCAAAAGTAATAAAATGATAGATAAGCAATTAAATAACACAAAAGTTCCTGTTTTCTTACTACCCACTGTAGGTACGTGACAGATGGACAGTGTGCTACCAGAACTTTCTCTGTAAAAGAGTCGTGCTTACAGGTTTCCTTCATGCACTGCAGCAGTATGTCTTTGTGTAGATAAACTGAAACATGCTACTGAAATTGGGCTTGTTTTTGGCACTTTTAGTTTGGCCTCTTGGGATCAGAAAGGGCTGTATGTGGCCTGCATGTAAGCCAAATGTATGTTGGAATGTGATGTAACCAACAGACTTAAGGATGGTTGTAACTAGTTAACCTTTAAACTAAAGAAAACTTTAAAGCCTGCCAGCTGTCAGGGAAGTCCTGTTCTGTTTCTTTATGGTTCTTTTTTTTTTTCATGTGAAGGAACCCAGAGCTAAACTAATCTCCCACTTTGCTTTGTGTTTTGCCACACTGAATGTGATGCGTTCAGGTTTACTGTGACTCAGAGTTGTGCTATTTGGAGCACAAAAGAAAACACTCAAACATTCATTAACTGCATCTTTGAGCTTGACCCCATCAAAGCTACGGTTTTCGGGCAAATTCTGATTTTCAGTCATCTAAGTGAGTTTATGGAGGTTTGTTTTGGACGATATCATCAGGATGTCTGATTCTGTTTTCTCTCACTGTATGATACTGCGATCCAGTCCTTTTTACTCACACAAAGCTGCTTGCATTGTTTGCTCAGAGCATCGAGAGCAGACTGAAGGTCGTCCTTCCTGAAGACCTTGGTTCGTCTCTGATGGACGGCGTCGTGCTCTGCCATCTGGCCAATCACATTCGCCCACGCTCTGTCGCCAGCATCCACGTCCCCTCACCTGCAGTGGTACGTCTCACTGACAGTTGCAACCTTTGACCCTTCGCATAATCACTGGATGAGCGTTCAGTTTCCCAATATCCCCTTTAAAGTGTAAAAAATACAAAGTTGTGTTTCTAAGTGTAGCTCAGTAAGTTGCTATATTTGTCTTCCAGCCCAAACTCAGCATGGCCAAGTGTCGGAGGAATGTGGAGAACTTTCTGGATGCCTGTAGAAAAATAGGCGTACCAGAGGTAAGAAGTGCATCTTTGTACATTAATAACACCTTTACTAGAAGCCATGGCCTGTCTGAACTGGGGGCGGATTTCAAGTTGCATGACTTCCAAAACCTACTTAAAGTCTAATCAGTTATTACACACCCAGAGTCTGAGTCTGTCTGACGCTGCAGTTATCAGGTAATACCATGATGGCTACTGTGCAGCCCCACTGCTGCTGAAGGACATTTTCTAAGCCTGTGCTGGGATTTAAACCAGCAACCTCCAACCTGAAAACGCCCCCAGTTCTTCAGAGAAACTCCCAACTGAGTCCATTTCAGCCTGATTCAATGGGTTGTTGGCTTGTTGTTGACACAATAAGTCAAAAGAAGTGTCCTGCAAAAATCAGATCTCTTCAGCATTAGGGCTATGATTTTACTTTAATGACACTGTAGCATTGGCACCTTCCATTTCCTTGTAATTTATATCAGAAAGTGAGGTGAAAACTACAATTAAAGATTTTTGCCAGACACTAAATTATAAACCAGACATGGAAGGAAAGCTGATGGTTCTGTGTGTCTAAAAGCAACTTTTTGCAACGTCATCCTTGAGCAGTTAGAACTGATAACAGCATTGCATTATTTTTTTACCTTTATGCCACTGAACAATAAGTAGAGCAGTCTGACACAGGTTGAACCCAAATCTTACAAAAACTTGAAAACCACTCAGCTTTTTCCCACGGCTGGTTAAATATCCTTTCTGCCTCCTTTTTGTTCTTTTTGTCTTTTTTGGCTGTCTAATGGGGTCGTTTAACTTCAACAATGCTGACTCATCACCGCTGTCATCGCTGCCTGCAGCTTACAGCTTCCTCCATCATGACAGAAGTCAAAGTGGCAGCTCCAGTCTGGTGCAGAGCATGCTGGGCTGATGGTGTTTACTCCTTGTGCGTGAACACACTTGTAGAAGTTCAGATTTGACTTTCCACCTCTGCACTGATTTAAGGAGTGTTGTCCAGACTGAGAACATATGATGTTTCATGCAGGTTTTTGTTCATAGACCCTGTGTGGTGGATTCTGAAAATAAAAAATAATAATAACATAGATTTAAAGTGAAAGTTCAGCAGTGTGCACAGTGATGAGCTAGATGTTAAATGCACACTTGATGGTACTTTTTATAAAAAATAAAATCGCTTGAAACGCCTTAAAAATAAACGTAAACTATAGTGAGAATGTGAAGAGACAAACACTATGAAGTGTGTCTGTGTGTCGTGATACAGAGATGTCTGCCGAGTCCATATCAGCCTGGAGTAGGTTCCAGATACACTCTTGTGTAATATCTCTTTGAAACACAAGATGGTGCTCAGACCCTTTAGTGCAGAGGTGGGCAACTCCAGGCCTCGAGGGCAGGTTTTAGATTTCACCCTGGGTCAACACACCTCGATTAAATGATTAGTTCATTACTAGGCCTCTGGAGAACTACAAGACATGTTGAGGAGGTAATTTAGCCATTTGAATCAGCTGTGTTGGATCAAGGACACATCTAAAACCTGCAGGACACTGGCCCTCGAAGCCTGGAGTTGCCCACCCCTGCTTTAGTGGTATTGGCTCAATACCCCCTTGAGACATTCCAACATTTTTCAGGTTAGCCTTCAGCCTCGGGCAACAGTTTTTTTTCTAGTGACCAGATCGAAACTAGGTCACTAGAGAGAACTGTGTATTCCCTGACTGGTTTAGAAGTGGCTGCAGGCTGACATCAGCTGCAAACAGGGTGCTCTGAAACCCTTGTGATTGCTTTGTTTGCTGGTGGATGGCTGCAGTTGCCTTTAGATTGATGGAAGACACCAACCTGTCTGCCTTTTAGTCTTCAAATTCGAACCCAAAAACATTTGCCTTCAAAGTAAGAGTTGTGCCTTACCTCTGCAGCAGATGCATTTCAAAAGGAGCAGCTTTTATGTTACACTCTAGCAACCACTTGCCAACTTGTTGAAGAATACACATTCTTGTCTAGCAACCAGTGGATACCAGGGGGAATCACTAACTGGCCTTTTAGAATGAGGACTTAGGAACTGATTTCATGGCAACTGCCAGCAAACACATTTTTCCCTAGCAACTGAAAGCTGGGCAGATGGTCACTGACTGCTCTCTAGGTCTGTGACTGAGGTCTTAGTAACATGAAGTTACTAAGGTCAAATACCAAGATGGCATAAAAGTCAACTTTCAAGACTGCAACCTGTGGATAGCTACCCCAAAACCTTTTGTTAAAGTGCTGCCACCTTATGGTGAATGACTAAATTAAAGCCAGTAGCTGGTTAGCTTATGATAGCATAAAGACTGTACACAGATGACCTTTTTTTTCTGAGGAAAAACATCAGTTTGTCATTTTGGCAGCTGTTTCGTATGCATTTTGGGTCTCCATAGGAAACATATTTTTGTGCTTTCATTTTTTATTCAAATTATGTGAAGTTGAGTTTTGACACTCACGGTCTTCCTTATTATTAAGGCCGATTATACCTTATTAGGTTGAAAATAGCTCAGCATTTGAAATGCCGCTGTCTCTCCATTGTCCTTTGTCACTCAATCAAAATTAGGAGAGGGCAACATTTACAACATCTCAACTGCAAATAATTGTAGAAGAGAAAACTTAGGCTCGCTTTTGCTAGATTCCTATAATTTTACATAACAATAAATGTTTGAAATGTGTGCTGTGGAAATGAGATCATGGACAACTATAATGCAGCATTAGTCCAAAGACCTGGGTCATTACCAAGGTACTTATGTTTCCCAGCAGGCTGTGCAGAATTAAAGTCTACAGTCAGGAAAGAAAAGTAAACACAGAGGGGTACACCTGCTGTTACATCCCAGCACACCTATAGTTCAAGGCTACCTGGCAGGCGGACCTTGTTACCACTATACTCATCCAGGCTGGCTGTTTCTCCTTGTTTCCAGTTTTTATCTGTAGCTTCATACTGCAAAGCAAGATCAGTCTCAAGGAAAGCAAGAAAAACTACTCATTCTGCTTTTCTGCAGCTGTAGAAACAGAAAAAGACTGGCTTTAGAGGTAGAACTGCTACAGATCTAGAGTTGAGGTCACATTCACAGGCTCCATTTGCCAGTTTAAGAGAAACAGGAGTACGGATTTTTAACACGGTGCTGCTCAAGGGTGCAGGTTATTAGGGGAAATGCAAACATTAGATTGTTTTTTCTGCAATCTAGCATTAATGCAAAAAAGTAAACAGCAGCATGTGTGAGACATGTGTCAGGGTTAATTGGTTATTTTATTACACTTTATGATTGGTAGTTTGATTTTTTTTATTTGATGTTATGTTGATATCTGTGTGTTTGTTTTAGGTTTGTTTTTTTGCTCTCTTATCTGTTAGAAAATTTAAGTTCAAAGGTTTAACCTGCCTTGACCTTTTGACCTCCATCTCTGCTTGCTGGCTGTTTTCTGGCCTCTGTGTTCGCTAGCCGCCATTTAAGCTGCAGCCTGACTGCTTTACTAGTAACGCTTCTGCAAAGCTTCCCTGCGCTTACGTGCTAACAGCTTCTATGCTAATGCGCTGGCCTGCTGCACTGGCTCTCCCATTAGCCACCTCACCTCTTCATCACTGGACTGCTTACTGGGAGGACAAAGGGTTCTGCAGAGGTTCTGAGCCATCCTCTCAGTAAGCATCCCTCCTTCCCCTGCTTGCCTCACCACCAGCTCCTTCACTCTGTGACCTTTGACCTCGGTATCCATTGGTTAACCTTCTGCCTTCTTCTCTTTTTTACTTTCCGGCTGGATCGCACCACGTATCCCTCCTCCTTTCCCTTGTCTTCTTCTTCTCATCAACCTTCTTGCTTTTTGTGGAGAATATTTAACCTTTTTCTCATTTCTCAAACTTCAATCCATTTTTTTTATCTACACACTTATGTTTTCCTTCACTTGTTGCCTTTTTTCCTCCTCGTGTCTTTTACCTTTCCATCATATTCTCTCATTTGTTTCATCACACATTCCATTTTATTGCCCTATATTTCTCTTTCTTCTCTGTCCTACTTCATCTTTCCCATCTTTGCTCCCTTCATTCCTTCTCTTCCAACTTCTCCCACTATTTTTCCTCCTTCCTCATTCACTTCCTCATTTCTTCCCTCCTTTCTTCCTAATGGGGGCAACAGTCGTCCCTCTGCTCACCTTATGACATCATCCAGTGCCGCCTGCAGCCGGTTCGCACCACGGTTCGGGCGCTGGTTGCCTTGGATCCAGACAGGAAACGGGAGGAGGCAATCTCAGCTGCAAACCCCACTTCCCCTGGGGCATCAGAGACTCCCTTATTAGTTTCTGTAACCACTCAAACTCCGCCTCCTGCCTGGCAGATCTGGGACCTTATTGGTTCGAGCTTAGTTCACATCCTCTGCCTTGTTCTGCTCTTCGTGGCCTATAGTTGGACCGAGCTGACGTAACCGTGACACCTGCAAGCTCTGCCTTCTTTCTGCCCAGGCTCCTCCTCCTTATTTCTGCTGAATTTGTGTCACACGGGTGGGAAAAATTTCATTTGGCTCTAATCACTCATCTGTTATTATTTGGTCAGTGTTGCAGTAATTAAGTGTTAAATTGCATTCTGTGTGGTGCTAAAATAAGAAAGAGGAATACTTCCCATAAACATAGTGGTCGATGCAATGAGTCTTTTTTTGGAGTCACTGATGGTCAGCCAGTCACCAAATGTAACCATGGCGATCTGTCAAACAACAAGCTCAAATAAACACATAACAATCTAATTTCCTCACATAGAATCTATAATATTTCTATTATTTTTAATGAGCACCATCCCATGTGACACAAATGCAGCATCAGCATGAGTGGATGCCTCTTCTTTTATCCTCCTTTTATCCTTCTATGACGTCTTTGCAATAAACTGACACATAACAAAAGCAGGGCATGCAGAGTAATAGGTTATCTGAAGTCAATGATGTCTTATCAACATGTTGGCCAGCAGAGATAATCACATCTGTGCAGGACCGAGGGCTTATTGCTTTTCTCTGGGTCACGTCAGTCTGGGGTCTGAAACGGTTGAATTTCACTGAAATTTCTTGCAGAGGGAGTGAATATGCCAGTATTTGTACCACTTCCATAGCAGTGATCAGATTTTAATTTTGGATTAGTGGGCAGTATTTTGCAGCCTTTTGGAGGTCTAGTGGTGAACTGACTGGAAAAGAAGCTCTGAAATATTGTCTGAAAATATTTAAAAGGTGTGATCAAAGAGTTCTGGAAAGATCACTATAAAAATCCTAAACCATGCTGCATTTAAATTTGGCCCCCTCTTCACTTTCAACCTTATCGTCTATTCTTAGACAATTGCTATTTATAGGTTTCTCCCTGAAAGTCCTCTTAGGACCATTTGCTCTGTAAATACATTCACCACAGTTTTCAGACCAGTGAGAGCCCACATTACAATCTGTTTCAAACTTTCAAACCTTATTGCTGGTGATGACATTTAATGCTCTGACTAGAACTGAGCACTTCAGTTTAAGTCCACAGTTCCAAGGTCCAGAGGAGGCACTTCAGGTTTGAAGAGTGACGAGGAACATGCTGCATTTTTTTCTGAATTGTTCACATTGTTGAGCTTCATGTATTCATACCCCAGAATCAAATACTGAAACTTTCTGGGGCATTGAAGGGAGACTATATGGTGGAACCAGCCTTATTTTGTAGTGTGTACTAGCTAAATGCAGGAGTTCTTTGTCCACAGAAAGACTACCTTCACTTTGGTTTTCCTTAATGCAGCTTGTCCACTTGTCTTAAAAAAAAAAGAGAGAGAGAGAGACTAAATATATCAGTGGACGATCAGTCTTTGAACGCACTGGAGGAGATCCAGCACCCATTAGTGCAAGTGCACAGGGACAGAACAGGACTTCAGGGAAGGAGTCTAAAAATAGTCTGTACTGTGAAAGCGGTCCAGAGGTGCACAAGAAGATGAACTTGAAGTGGGGCCAAACTTAAAATGGGAGTGCTTTTTCTTTTTACATCTTTTACATAACGGGCGATCGTGGCTCAAGAGTTGGGAGTTTGCCTTGTAATTGGAAGGTTGCTGGTTCGAGCCCCGGCTTGGACAGTCTTGCTCGTTGTGTCCTTGGGCAAGACACTTCACCTGTTGCCTACTGGTGGTGATCAGAGGGCCCGGTGGCGCCAGTGTCCGGCAGCCTTGCCTCTGTCAGGGTGGCTGTGGCTACAATGTAGCTTGCCATCACCAGTGTGTGACTGTGTGTGTAAAGCGCTTTGGGGTCCTTAGGGACCAGTAAAGCACTATACAAATATAGGCCATTCACCATCTTTAAAAGCCTTTACCAGGTTTTTAACCTGCACTGGTGTGGTGGTTTACAGTGGGGCAAAAAAGTATTTAGTCAGCCACCGATTGTGCAAGTTCCCCCACTTAAAATGATGACAGAGGTCAGTAATTTGCACCAGAGGTA